CGCACGATGCTCTCGCGGATTCGTTAATATCGTCAAACGAAAGTAAAAACTTTCATTCCCGCTGCTACTGGCTGATGTCGTGCTTCCTAGGAAGAAGATCTCCGGCGGCGTTACGTATTCGTATATGTGCAGCTCGTGTACCAACCAGATCTCGCGACTTTACTTGATGCTTGGATAACGTACGTTCGATGTACTTTCGATATGTTGCCAGTACGATATGTTATTCCAAACTCTGTTTAGAATACATTCTCTGACATTTATAGGTGTCTTAAATTATTAGGAAATATTGTTTGCTACAGTTAAGGTGATAGACTGATGCGACCTCGTGTATTTTTGTATGGAGTAATTTGAAGGTGTAATATCCTCGATATTACTATTCTACAACCTAAAGAACATTCCAAGTCAAGAGAAAATCAAAATGACTTTATTTTATGACGTTATGAAAGTCAAAATGAAGATTTTTTGTTAGAAAATTTGGTTATTTATTTATCTTAACAATAAAAATAAAGTTACTTTGATTTTTTGTTGACTTTTGTGTTTCTTGTAAGAAACTTCCAAAGTGTAGAAACTTTGTATAATAATTTTTGTAAAAACGAAGATATCGGAGAACGATGAAAAATACGTGTTTCAATATTCAAAAGTTACTTTTTGGCATAGCTGTTTATTATTTATCATCCCCAGATACGCGAGGATAAGAGAAATGGATAATGACAAATGAAATTTCCACTTTTGTAGTCGTGAAGTTATTCATATAGTTTAACTTAAAATTATCAGCCTTTTGATTGCCATAAAAAAACTTTTCAAATAAGCCTTCGCTTTACTTCCATGCTATTTAGAATTTTCATCACCTCTTCCGCTCTCGCGCAGCTGAGAGTTGTGATCGATCAGCATCCATGCTAAAAAGCTGTTTTGAAATATCGGAATACATTATGTTTCTCCGTTTTCCGATATCTTCGTTTTTACAAAAATTAGTATTGGATATTCCACGTTTTTGGGAAATCCTGAATATCTCTTACAGTACATTTTATCCAAGGAACGTCTTTATAAGATATCCCTTGGAGGTTTGTGCTGTATGGGATTGTATTTGGATGATGTTTTCTTTAAATAAATAAGATATCGATAGCATTAACATAGCGTATTATGCTGTATATTTTCTGCTTTTGATATTTTATACATTGCTTTCTTCTCAGGATCTAAAAGCGTTCTATTATGGTAACAAGATTTCTGAATTACCTTCGAGAACATGATGTATTAATATATACTTACATTTTCATATGTATATCAATTGATACGATGATAGTGAACGTAAATCCCATTATAAGTAAATTGTGAATGTGCGCATCTTTGACATAAAAATTATCATTCTAAAAACCTATACGATCTTGTTTCCATAAAGGTTTATGAGGTCACTTCCTTATAATCTCTTAGACTTTCATGGTAAGTTGAAGTAGAGGCTGACTAGTTGTTGCCTTACATCGCTTCAATTTTCTTTTGTTCCCTAATGTAGCTCATTGAGTCTCCCTTGCGGTTTCCTACCCGGGGAATTTGATTGATTTGCTACGATTTCCACAGAATTCCAACCGGAGCCTGTTGATGCTCGGAAATACCTCCCCGAATAAGTATAAATGTTCAAGCACCAAAAGAGAGAAGATTAGTTTTTAGCGGTGAAAGTGCGTTATTACGATGATCGTTGTGATTGTGTCGTATTTTGCTTAAATTGCATTGGAAATGAGATACCTATCCGACGATTTCCATGATAATTACGAAGTCTCACGGTAACGAAAATCATAGGCAAAACTATTGTGGCAATTGTGGTGGCAAAAAGAAAGCAAAATTATGGAGAATAATTTCACATTTTCTATAATTCCGCGTTAATCGGAAGCTATTCCTTGAGCATTAATAGACTATAAATTGACTTCGGTTCGCGCAACTTTGCAAAATAAATAAAAAAGATTCTGCTTCTTGAGTATTATCCGCACATCAAAATTTTATGATATTATTAAGATATTATTAACGCATATTTATATTACTTTTTAACATTAGCTTTACGGGATTCCGTTAATTTGACAAGTTTTGAATTTCACGATCAAAATTATAGAAATTACCATTACTACTATTTCCTAGCAGCAATTTTTTCTGACTTTTATGAATGAAATGATATGAATATATATTTAAATTAATTTTCCCTCCTCAGTTTTTTAATTTTGAAATTCTGTATGCATAGCATTTACTTATTTCTTTACATATCCGTCAAATTAACGAGTGACGGCTCCCGTAAATTTAGAGTTAATAAAAAATTGTTGTTAAGATTAGTAAGTTTGTGCTAACATTATTAACATTACATTTTATCGTATATAGCTAGTTAATTAATATTTGGAATGCTTTAAAATTTATTTTTTAATAAACCAAATAAAAATTGATAATTAATATTAATAGATTATTGATAAAAATAGAAATTAGAAATAGAAAGAACAATAAAATTATTGTTCTTTCATACGTTAAGAGTAATAATTAAAAAATGGACTATCAAAACAAATGAAAAATTAATAAAAAGTATTTTTAATGCTTATGTATTATTTTAAATAGATTGGCTAATTTTATTGATTAAATCTCTTATATATTTTTTTTCTTTAAATTTTTTTCAATCTAACAGCTTAATTAACTAATTACTATCTATTTTTTATTTTTCTAAATATATTAATAAATGGAATATAAAGTTTTTTATTTTAGACTCAAAATAATTATTTTTTTTATTCTTTACATTAACTTTTTATATGTTACACAACGGTTGCTAACGCGAAATTACTGATTAAACATAATCATTTCTGATAACACAATTTCACACTATATGAGAAGGTAGTTATCGAAAGCCGAAATAGCTCAGTTGGGAGAGCGTTAGACTGAAGATCTAAATGTCCCTGGTTCGATCCCGGGTTTCGGCATCCTTTTTTCTTTTGTTAGATAAACCCATAAGGAATACAAAGAGAACCTGCTTTATCATCATTTCTTACGCGGTAGTTCGAAACGAGCCGAAATAGCTCAGTTGGGAGAGCGTTAGACTGAAGATCTAAATGTCCCTGGTTCGATCCCGGGTTTCGGCAAGTATATTTTTTTTTTAGATATAATTTACGTACAAAAGATGCACTCACAGACACTTTATTTTTATTGTGAAAAAAAATTGTCAGTAAAAAATATTTTATTTTATTCTATTTTTTAACATATATTTTTTTTTACTTATACTGAAAGCAACGAATGTTTCAATTAAATTACATTTTTTTTTAAACTCTGTAATTATGTTGTCTAAATATGGCGTTGGATTATCGAAGATGTCCGTGAAAGATTAGAAATCATATTATCAAGAAATAATTATAAATTTTTTTCCTACTTTTAATTAATTTATTTAACCTTTTAATAAAATATATCCTTAATATGCACTTAAATAACGGTTATTATTAAATTATTGCGTAAACGGATCAAAATCCTCTTGATTGTACATGTAGTTGTCGACCTAGCCGCAGGCTGCGATTGTATCATTCGCGTGAGTAAGAACGCGATTATATCGATAATAATAATTCTCGATGTAAAAGTTAGCGAGTGTAATTCATGATTCAACGACCTGTTCATTGAGTATAAACCGAGTTCGCGTATGTTTCGAGTAACTACATTACACGCACAAATTGCAATTATACACGTTCGTCGCACGCTTGTTCGTCGCGAGGCAAGATATTTGACACGGCTGACACATTATACATCGCAATCCATTGTACGTCAGAAGTATTAGCGTTAAACCTTTGGCGTTTAACGGATTATTTATTACAGAGTATTTCAAAATCGACGTCGCGCCTTTTTCAATCACGAATCTTTTGCTGACAACTTTTTCCTAATGAGAACGTTGAAATTATAGGTACTTCTTGATAGTCCTTCCTCTTTCGACATACGCAAATCACAAATAAATTGCAGTCTATTAAATATAAAATTTGAGATAATCTCTGAGATAATCTTAACGTTAAAGTAAATGTCTATTGCAAAATGTCGATGGGTGTGTCTATCAATCATTTTCGCGTTGAACCAGAACTCATATTATTTAATGCTATTGCATATTTATCGCGATTAATTATGTTTGCCCTAATTAATTCTAATTCGGCTCTCCGATTTGTCATCTATAAACCAACTTCCTACGCGCACGCGTTTTTCTTTTGAAATTTCAACGATGTGATTGCCTTCTCTTATCTACGTTTATTACCTCACCGACCGATATTGCCTGCGGAATTCCGAAATGTGCTGTGCTTCTGAAACAATTATCTCTTAATTAGATTTCTGCTCCGACAGCATGTATGTTTCATGGTGCTCTCCTACGCATCGATGCGCTATCTTCGTTTCCGTTCTGCTTAACATTTCTGTGCTCCATGGGGAAATACAGTAACCAATTCTTCTACATTAATAATTTATACATTTATGAGATTTTATTTCTTTTTATTGTACTTTTATTGTGCTTTTCAAAAATTTTTTTAAATAGCAACAGTTATATCATTTAACAGGCAATAGTCATATCTCACTCAATAACAGTTTGATGACTTCAGAGAGAAGGGTGAAAGTTGCGTTTGCGTTAAGAATGAGTATGTGAGATGAGATGAGATCCTTGAATAATCCAATCTTAGATAGTTTATAATTATATCATATATTAAATGTAAATTTATCAAGATTTAATTTTTGTTAGAATTTCGAGTGTTGATTTGGGGCGCCCAAAATGATTATGACAAATATGGTATCGCCTTCGACCATTATAGGCCTTCAATTCCTATTTCCTATTGGTTGTGTTCTTACATGTACAGTCTAAGATCCTTATTGTTTAATTTTTGTGTTGCTGAAGAAGGTCCTAACGTCCTGTACACAGTAGAAGAATAATAATCAATTTATTAGTTGCTATTATCTCATTTTGATTAGTTGTCCTTTTATTTGATTTGTTATTGTTCACTTAATAAATTATGCTCTGTTTACAGAGTCGTGATTGACGATCTATCAAACATGTTACGCCTCGTGAGCCTTCTATTTCTATGTAAGTATAATTCAAATTTTATTTTTATTTAACATCATAGAATAATTTTAAAAAAGTCAATTTAAATAAGTCACTTTTTAAAAAATTACTTTTTTTAAAAATGATTCTGAGGATAGAAATAATAGAAGTAATTATACAATAAAATAATAATAATAAAATAATGTAAAATAGAATTTTATTTATATATATATATATATATATATATAAAATATAATAATAATAAAATAAAGAAATTTCTACATCCATCGTGTATTACTAGAGTTTTAATAGGTTCAATTGAAAAATTATTATAGATTACACAAGAAAACATGATAAAAACATAATAGAATTCTCGTAGTCTATTGTAATTTTTAATGTATTTACAAATATCTGGATTATTTATTTAACAGAAAGGCGACGTGCGTATTGACATTAGTGAAAGCAGTAATGAAAAAAATTTGATCGATAAAAAAAGTATATTTCATAGTCATGTCCCTCGTGATTCGCGGACTTCGTTCTTCAACGAATCAATTCACCGGCGATGAATCGGCGGAATAAAAATTCCTCCTTTTGAGCTTGGACGCGTTGACGTCGTTCTCTTTTTGTCGTTCTTTGTCTTCCACGGTCTGGCATTTAAAGGATCGATGGGAATACGGGAATACAATCGGCGAAACGGCATTTACTGGCGCACCATTCTGATGGTCACCAGCCATCAGCAGTGGACAAACGATTAATCTTCACTGCGCCACCGCTGCGTGGGATTATTCAATATTTTTATTTATTATTTTCCCTTATCGCCGGTGTTCATCCGTGCTGCTAGCCGATAATTACGGACCAATCGCGTATCTATATCTCTGGCAGCGTGGGAGAGCCGTGGCATCCTGTCGTGCGCGGATAAAGTCAAGGATTCGCTTCCGCGGCGAAGGTGAATCCGACGTAGAATCGCTTGGTCCAGGATTTATGGCCGTTTACTCCACGCTTCTCTTCTGCATCGAGGAGCACGGCACAATCTGCGGTACAAGAAGATCGATGTTGTTGACTCACCGGTCATTCACGCAGCATTTGTCACGCGCTTGTCGTTGCCTCTCATCGCGGAAATATGGAAATTTTATTTTCCTTCACACGGAATTTGCGTAAAGAGGCTTTAGAGAAACAGCATGTTCAAGCCACTACTATTTACGTGTTCAGGGAAAATCATAAATAGTAATTGACTTATATATTTATTAATAAGTAATGTATCGATTTCTCGATTAGATTTTTATATAGTCTTGTTAGGAATACAATACATTTAATTATATTAATTATATTAATAATATATTTCTTAATAAAAAGCATTTGCATATTGATTGTTTATCAATTTTTCAAGGATTTGATATAAATCTGATTTTAATATAAATCTTAACTTAATTTATATGATACAGGCAGGAAATTTAATTTTATTGTTGATAATTAATAATTCTCTCAAATAATACTTAGTGATGCAAATATTCGTAAATAAACAGATTTTATGTAAAGAAGAAATAATTTATACTATTTATAATGATGGAGGACTGAATTCAGAAAAGTACAGGAAAATGTATAAATATGTTAATTAATGATTTTTGATGCTGATTAGAACTTTTTGAAAAATGTATCACGTTATTGTGTCGCAAATTCGTATTTATGTAGTAATAATTTATAGCATAATGAAGAGATATATTAGATTAACTGGAGGAGCTGAATAACGTTTGAGAAACCTCTCAACGTAGCGAAGTAGAAAAGTTCACGACTACTTCTTTGGAAACGCGCGATTCGATATCCGGGACTTAGTGCAAGTATGCGCGGAAAATTTTTCATCGCCATGAAAGTTCGTCGCTTACCTTCGCGAAACTTTGCACGTTTTCCACGATCTCGTAAAGAATTTCGTGGAGCAAGTTACGACTTTGTCCGTATCACTTTTTATCTATCTTTGTTACTCTGTCGCATCTATCTTTCTCTTTCTGCATTTTCCAATAATGTTCCGTATGACTTTGTATTCATCACTATTGAGTTTCTTCTTTGAGATTTCAGAATATTTGAAACCTATTGCCAGGATTGATCATAGTCAGATTATTAATTCTTTTTCCAAAAAAATTATTTTTTATTCACAATTAATATAGTTATTTCTTTGAGGCATTCACAAATAGTTTATTTCCAATATTATAGTTTGGAGCGATTCCTATGTAAAATTCATAGAATCGCCTTTAGTTACCTTCTATTATATTAAATCACCGTGCAAACTTCTAATATTGCTACGTCGAACAACGAAACGATGATGGTCCATTGACTTATGACTCGAGTTTTTACGCTTATGTAATGTGTCATAGGTATCACGCGCTTTCTCTCTCAACTATAAATTCTTTGATAAATTTTCTTGCAGCTCTTTGCGATCGAAAGTTATAACTCTTTGATGTGATTCCTGACAATTTTCAGAAGCATGTATTTATAATCAAAATTAATTTAAAATTTCTTAAAAGGTAATTTATATAATAAGAACTAATTCAATGATGGAAAACATGACTAAAATTGAATATTCTGTTCGGAGTTTCTTTCAGACCAAATAGTTTACTAAACTCAACTATTTTACATTTTTAATATAATAGCAACAAATATTTTTTAAACTTTCAAGTGTTATCTGAAACATTTAAGTTATAAAATATTCAATATTATTTATTATTATGTATAAAAAGAGTTATATTAATAGTTACATAAACTTTTTATTTTTCTTTTAATTATCAAAATTATGTTTTATATTTTTAAAAGTAATAATGTATATTTAAGTTTATATTTTTAATATGTTATTATGTATGTTTCCGTGTATAATGTCCTTGATATCCAACACGTATTCAATTATAATATAATAATTGTAAAATTATAATATAATGTGATAACTTTATTGTTGTTTTTCTTTTGATTGTCAAATTATGTTTTATATTTTTAATTTTATGTATATTCCGTGCAGAGAGAGAGAGAGAGAGAGAGAGAGAGAAAGAATTGAACTACTTATGAGCTAAAAGAAATTTGACGAGGTCAGTGTAATGTGTTTTCGATATTGATTTAGTTGCTTGTTTTACCGCGAATAGTATGCTGAATCGCAGCGGGAAAAAAAATTTCGACATGTACAATTCTACCATAAAACTCATGGGATTATACGGGCGCATCGACCGTGCGATTCTGCTAGCACGCTTGTCGTTGATAAAGCTTCTTTATTCAACAGCGAAAACAGCCTGAACGGTTACCGCCGCTGGCATATTTTCACAACATCGCGTTGTAACGAAAGCAGCTATACAAATATCCCAAATGGTTGCCCCATAGGACGACTATAGAACATCCGGATTAGGCGACCGCGCTTTGCTGACCTAATTTCCTGTAGAGCAAGACGCGTGATTATTTAATCCCAACTCTAATCCCCGTTTCCGACTTTCAGGTATCGCTGCTACGTACACACCTGGACAATGCGAGACAGAGGTGAGCGGTTTCAAGATTAAGAATAGCCTACTTCTAGTCTTAAGATGTACTATCTCACCGTTAAAGATTGAAATTGAAATTAATCTTCAATTAAATCTAGAATTAATTTTGTAACTAATTTTGATTCTCTCTACGTAACTTTCAATGCCACTGTTTAATTTTATAAAAATGTCATTTAATTTATCACTCAATGATAATTTCGGTACAATATCTCCGCGCGATTCTCTAAGTTTAATATTAAGTTCCTGACTTTCCCATAAAGTTGCCATGGATGATGAAGTTTTTATATCCATGAATTATCCTTCTCTCGGTGCTTTCGTGAATTCTCCAGGCGGCAAGCTGAGTCGGATAATTTAGAAACATCCTAGAATATTTATTACGGATTTTCTTAATTCTATAGAAGTATAAGTGAACGAACAATGCTATCGTAAATATTCAAGTGGCGCTAATCTGAGGACCGAGCGGCTCCAATCAGGCGACATTTTGAACGCCGAAGTTAATTAGCGGCTAAGTAATTAAAGTCCCCGCGGCCCTTATTTCAAGCAATGTAATTTAACTTTCGTAGAATTCCGCACGGACGTTGTACGCGCGACGGTTTATTGCGACGATTTACGGTTTGCTAGCAATCGATTCGAAAGAGGTAAAGCGCGCTTCGGGGCGCGACGCGAAATTTTCAACCGCGAGCGTGGAAACATGCGTTACGGACGCTCTTTTCTCATCCCTGCAGATGTAACGTGGATTTTAATTTACGGGAGCGCGAGATCTAATTACAGAGTTACCGAGTTACGCGCTCGCGCGTGAACGGATTCCCGTGAAAAATCGCTCGAGAAACGCTCTGAAATTACGATACACTCTCGCATTAGAGAGCGTCGCTTTAAAGTTGCCGTTAACATTGCTAATAAATGTCGACAATGGTCAATACTGTGATGCACCGTTTACTGGTTAACCGTGATTTACGCGACGCGTAAGTGTAGGTAACGACGACAAGCGCTCTTCTGCCCGCACTCTCTGCAGCGAAATTTAATCAAACTTTCGTTTCCCGGTGGGATGCGAGTTGCAGTATCGAATTTCATGTGCGGGATAACGCAGCGGCGAACGTTTGTTCGTATTTTGTGCGTCGTATCGTCTCGCGCACGCAAAATCAATAGCGTTTAATGCACTCGTCGCGCTCGTTCGAGCGTTCAAATGCATAAATTGATTTCCCTAATTATCAACACTTCACGTATGACGCATATAAAGAAAGAAATAAAATTTTATTTAATTGTGGCTGGTTTTTATTAGGATAATATCATCTAGATGTAACAGCTTACGGCTAAATCCTCAAATTCGCTTAATTTATTTTTTGCAAATTGCGGTTACGTCATTTGGAAAAAATATCGCAAATATTGAATTGAAGTGATAACTGGCCTCTCGGCTTTGTACATTTTCAATTAACTTTAAATTTAAAATAGTGTCTCTTTTCAACGATTTCACATTAACATTATCACGTGCAATCTTATCATGATGATTGGATTACGAGCGTCTAAAGATGCAAGTATACTGGAAGAAAAGAGCAAGCTGTAAGACGAGTTGAAAGTAGTGTATCTTCCAAGAGACCTGCGGAAACTCGTCACTGCGAGCGCTTTTCTGGAAGTAGTTCTACATTCTGAGAGCGTATTACGTTGCAGGCATCGCGAGATGTCGAGCATGCGAGACTGCCAGAGTTCCTCACGGAATTGGACCTGTCGAGTCTTGAGGCATCCGAAGAAGACGTCGAAGCACTGAAGAAAATCGTGAAAAGGCTGGCGCCCGAAAAGAACGGCGAGTACCAAGTTTACCAAGGTTCTCTCACAGAACTGTCCTACTAACCTCGAGACTACATCGCTAATCTCTTTTTCTTTTCTGACCTGACTAAAGCGACTCACTTTTTCTTCCATTGCCAGTCTTCTTCGGTAACGAGGACCTTCTCAAGGAGTGGCTCAAAGGAGCGGGTATTATTACTAAAACGTTTTTCTCCGTGTGCATGTCGTCTCTTTGATGTAACAACCGTTCTTATTCGTGTACTCTTTTATTATTGTTTGTAAAATAAACTGTTTAACATGGCGTTTAAATCCTTTGATAAAAACTGATTATCTAAAATTATCCTTTAAGGAATTGCGAAGTTCTTAAAAACTCTTATTTATGATTTCATTCCATGCTTATTAATTGCTTATTAATCCTAATGTTTTGAAATGAAATTGTTGATGGCCAAGAAAGCATAAATACGTATAAAAAAGTTTATGAATAAATATTTTTTGCTCGTATTTTTTGTCCCGGAATAAAAATAATATTTGCTTATTCCAACGTTGCACTCTCCAGCGCTTCACGTATTATCTTTTCCCATATATATATTTACATTGTGCACGTGTATATTTGTCTTTCGCATGTAGACATAACGTACAGTCATACGAATTCACTTCTACAAGTTGTGCATCTATGCACATATTTACCAGGAGCTTCTTCGGTAAATTTGGAACACTCCATACATAGTGATATCGTATTCGAGCAGAAGCGAAAATGAGAGCATCCGATGTCTGTAGATGTCTTTTCTCCAGCTGTCTTAGCGGTCAGATATTATGTAAGACTGTGTAAGCGAAAGTCATTGAGTGCGTGCGACTATCTCGAAGCGATCAGACTGCGTTTCTGCTTTCCCACGAGGTGCAATTTTTCGTTTTACGATGATTGTGCGCCGGCGCTTTGTGACTTTCCACTGAAGTGACAGACTTTCTACGGCACTTCTATTCTAGCCGACCTGTTATTCCCCTAAACGTGATGTAATTGCATTGTTACGTTTGGTAATTAAATTTTTGAAACGCGACGCGTTAATGCATACTGGCAGATAATCTATCGCTCGTTTATCATCTTGCGCACGAAGCGATATGATGGGGGATCTAAACGATCTTTGTCACTAATCTCGATAGTTATCGGTTCGCGGAATTCTTTATACGAAACGTTAATGGCACAGTTCGCATGACATTAATGGCATGATTCGCGAAAGCTCCAAGCGATTATGTTGGGATATTTATATTTTAGAAGCACGGTTGTGAAAAACGCGGGATGAACATCGATAATGCCGCGTTGATATAACAAGAATTATAAAATTTAATAACAGTCCACTTTGTACTTAGGCGTGACGGGACAGCCCGGAGTGGATTATCCAGCCCTCACGTCGATTCCAACCACTTCATTCAGCTGTCGCGGTCTGAGAGGGGGATATTACGCGGATTTAGAGACAAATTGCCAAGTAGGTGACATCGATATTACGTACGACACGACGGCTCGATTCGAGCAAAAGTTGGACCAAACACGGATTGATGCTCAATCCGGCGATTGTTAAATAGTTACGGATTATAGAAATTCGAACATTTTTAGAATGTCTATAAAAAATATGAATATACATGCCGAATAAAAAAGTTTAGAAAATAAGAGAAAATGAAGAACGAAATGAATGATCTTTTTGAAAATATTTTTTCATTTTACCTTGAATTTTTATATAATTTATGTGCACAAAATTACCTTTGAAAAAATAATCATATTCATAATAACGGTATTTGTATCGTTATACCAGTAATATTTCTGCAGAGACTTTCCGTTAATGAAGCATTTGTCATCGAAGTTGAATATATTTTCAGGTATTCCACATCTGCGACAATGGACGTAAGATCTCGTTTCTGTGTCCCAACGGCACGATCTTCCAACAATCGCAACTTATATGCGACTGGTGGTTCAAAGTGGACTGCAGCAAGTCCACAGAGTTGTACGAGCAGAGTGTCGAGCAACTGGCCGAGGAAGAGAAGAAACGTGCGGAAGCGAGAAAGATGAAATCCGAGTTTCATCGCGAAGCGGAGGAACAAAATAATGCGGATTATTACGATAACGTCGACTACGATGGCAGACAAAATGGTAGAATGAATCCGTACGGATCCACCGACAAGCAGAATCAGATTTCGGAGACAAGACAGAATGAACCAAAGTCTAATCAACACTTCGGACCGAACAACGTTTTCGAGAATACCCGTAGTTCTGGTCGATTCCAAGAGAACAATGCGAACGCATTACGAACTAACGAGAAAACGAGTCAGATGCCCGATAATTACGACCAGCCGTCGAAACAGCGACAATATCATGATAGCGGATCGAATTATCAGGCGGTCAATAGACAGAGAAATCAATTGGATACTCAGAATAGCAAATTCAATTACGAGCACAACAATAAGTTCCAGGATAGTCGGCAGAATTATCAGTCAAATCAGAATACGCCGCGCAGCAACGACAAGCCAGCGTTCAATCCGAAATCGCGAACTTCGACGCGAAACAATCTGTTCGGTTCCAACCAATCACAAAAAGCTACACCGACGTACATGGAGACGACAACCTTCAGAACTACAACTGCGGCGCCTCCGAAGGAATACCAGCAGTTTGCGGAAAGCGCCGCATTTGTGTCCAACCGGGGACATCGCTTCAACTCGGGCAAATCCGAGAACACTCGACAGTATTATTACCATTCATACGATTACCGAGATCATACCACTACTGCTAGCTACAGCGATCACGAGACGACCACCTTAACGCCACAGAGGAACAGAGAGAGTGAGACGGTATCCTTCACACCCAAGACGGGTGCTCCGCCATACCCCGGTCCCACATACACTCCTATCTATAAGCCTAGGACAACGACGTTGCCACCTTATGAAACAACATTACAGTACACGCCGACCACCGAAACGTCGCACTATAGCACTCCTTACTATAGGCAAGATGATGTTCCAGAAACTACTTACACTAATGCTGACACCACGACGGTGACATCGTTTCCCTCCGCAGAGGAATTCCCAACTATGTCTAGCTCGCGAACTTCTCCTGCTGTAGGAAGAATACCACCAGCCTCCGGGAATTATCAAAATCAACAGTATATTGATAACAGGGTAACTGAACAGAGAGACACTGATACTTCTTTCGCGACTACGCGTCCATACGTGAATACAGAAAGCTATCGGCACAACTCTGCTAACGTCACTTCAATCGTCAGTCAAGATGCATTTCCCACGACCAATGTGCCATGTTACGATGAGTGTCATGGGCAAACCTACCGCGCCAATTATCAAAACGAGAATAGTATCACGAATATCGAAAACAAAGGTACGACGGGAGATCCTTGGCGTGCGACTTTGCAAAGCTTCCATCAGAATTCAATCAGCTCGACCGAGAAGCCGTGGAGAAGCACCAATGGTTATCAGCAGAGCGGATCTACTAGTAAGACTTTAAGTCCTTATGACACCAGTTTTACCTACAAACAAGGGAAAGTGTTGTCCACTTTAGGCCCATACGTACCTTTCACTAAAAACTACGTTTACTCTACGATGACTACTACACCGACGCCGAAACCACCGACCACTATGCCGACATACAGTTCCACTCTGACAAATTATCGCATCACGGCCAGCAATCTGATACCCAAGGTGAAATCGTCGCCTCCGGCAACGAGCAAGCCCAAAGACAGAGCGACTTATTTACCTGAGGTTGGCAGCAAACCACCACCGACTTTAGAAGATAGACCTTACGCTGAACGGGAACACGCGCTCAGCATGTTGCACTCTCTTCAAGGTTTAGAAAATAATGGGGAAAATCTAAGTGAAATCGCGAAGGATGGAAATAGTCGAAATGGACCCTCTGCTCCCGGTCCATCCACTTTGCATTCGTTAGCTCTATACTTTGCCACAGCTGGCGACAATCTCGACTCCAATGAGACTATCGAATCTACCGCAAGTGCCGAGGAAGCCGAGAGTAGAGAAGGCAATTACTCGCATAATGTGTCTGTCGAATTACCGACCAGCATTCTCACACAACACACCATCTCGTCGTACGTTGAGTTGTTCAATCTAAATAATGCGCTCGAAGGAAACGCCACAATGACTGAATTTACGTCGGAAGCCGAGGATCTTGATGGCGAGATAAATGACGATCTAGAGATCGAACAGAGCGAGGGTCCAGTGAACGGCGCGAAGAGATCGAATAACACGAAGCTGCGCGAACTGGCTCAGGTCTTTACTCATGCTCTATCGGCATATCTACAGGATCCGGAAACCTTTAAGAAGGTGCTCACAGAGATCAGGCCCACGCAACCCCCGACGACGACCACCGATGATGATCAGTTTGAAATGACGACAATGTATTCAACTACTGCGGAAGAGTATGCATCAGTGACTAAGGAGAAGGATGAAGTCCTGGATTTTTCGGACGATACCGACGTTACCAGAAGGCGTAAACCAACCACCATATTCCCCACTACCTTACAACCACCTATCACCACCGATAGATCGTATTCGACTTACTACACGAC